TGAGTGCGAGTGCACTACACTAATTTATTTTGGGAACTTCCTTGGTGTTTGTATATACCTGTGGGAGAAATTCCAAGCTCTTGCAGTCAACTAATACTCTGAAACATTAGTTTTGTTTGCACCGCGTTTAAGTACTATTGATGGTAAAAGGGTCTTGCCATTACTTAAATAAAAGATAGAAATACATGATTACCTGAGAAACTGATGGCGAATGATTGAATTTTAAGATGTAATGACTAAATGGACTGCTTCTTTTCAAATGTTGCAACTATGACACCATGCTGTTTGACTCATAAAAACATTATAGGTAACCAAGCTTTTAAAATATTTGGAGCTCCTTCGGCACAGTGCTCAAAATATGAAAGACCTTCTCATTTTTCAGACAGATGTGAAGTTCACATTAGACTAGCTGRTGTGAAACAGCCACAAACTTCAAAATCATTCTCCATAAGATTTCATGTGTTTTCTTTCTTAGGTGAAACAAGATCTTCTTGCCAAGAAGGAGGCACTAAATGGTGTTGAGCAGGGACATGTCCTCCTGGAAAGGGAAATCAAGTCATCCAGAAACATGCCTGAAGGAGAGAGCAGGTGGGGAAGATAGAAAAAAAAAAATCACTCTTTACGTTATTTCCTGTTTTGCTGTACATCTCCTTTAAATCTATATTTACATATGCAGATGTCAGGCTCAGATTTTGCAAGTTTTAGAGTAAGACAAAGGAAATTTTCCCCTGCCACATCTGTTAGCTCTTTGGTTCAGGAAAACAACAAGAATATCAGGCCTGTAAAGGCATCACTTAGGATGACWTAGAGTTTCATTGCCTTGTTGGAAGTCACTAAGACCAAGAAGTGGCAGACACACTTTTGCTTCCCGTGGTTTAGCCTTATTATCATGTCTAACCTCTCAGAGCGGAGCTTGGTGTTCACATAGTGTCGAATCTTTGTCCGTGTTTATTTTAGAGGTACCCATGTGTTACAGTCTGCATGGGATACCCGTTTTTCTCCGATTTCCGGCTTACTTAAATCCATCAGTTTTGATTCCAGTGATATGCTTACTTGCCATACTCCTCGTTTCCTCTCCCTGTGCAGCTACATAGACTTTGTGTTGTGAAATCTTTATTAACATGTGCTGCTTTTGGGGCAGGTTGTTACTATAAAGAGGGCCCAAAGTTACTATAAAGAGGGCCCAAATCAGCCTTCTGAGCTTCTCCCTTTTATTTTTAACTAGCCAGCTCAGAGTCACCTCTATGGTAAATCACCACAAATCCTTCATCTGGGAGGCAAGGAGAAGCTCCTGAGGCAAAACAGCCTATGTAGCTTTGCTAACCTACATAGCTCACTCCTCTGAGCTATTCCTGACTAATCCAAGGAGCCTCTCACATCTCCAGGTGAACTCCAGAGAGGGGAGCAATTCCCTGGCTCGGCTGAAGCTGAGACCTAAAGGGACCACCTCTCCTGAGGCGCTGACATTATGTGTGTCACTCCTAACACATACARTGCTAATGAGAACAGTCTCCGTGTCTGAGGGCAAAGCTGCACCTGGAGAGCAGAGCTAGACTAGGAGAAGGCAGAGGAGGAGGGAGGCTTGTCAGGGAAATTACTGCTAATGCCMATATTCTGTTCTCTGCATTCACACAAGAACTCCTTGTGCTCTGCTCCCAGCTGGCATCGGCAGCTGACCTGTGTTCCTGGTTTCTGCAGCAGGCATCGTTTCCACGGGGGTAGGACTCTTGTTACTCACTGTAGTTTGAAACTGCATATGCTTGAGCTCTGTAAAATCAAGTAGAGGTGAGGGAGGGTCAATAACCAGCTGTGCTACAAAACCCCACAAAATCAAAGGTACAGTCGAAAGCACTGATGAAGGGAAGGGATAACTGAAAGGAAAATGTAAGGGCTGCCTACACATCAATCAGCACAGGACCACCTGTTCTCTTTTGATCAGAAAACCTTGAGAAGCAAGGAGTAAGTTCACAAGTATAACCCTTTTGCATTGATCTGATTTCGCTCCCATCAATGGGATCAACATAATTTGCTGTTTTCACGCAGCAGTGCTGGATCTGCTGAAGCTTACTAAGAATTCATTCAGTCACAAATATTTATTTAGGTATATATTTGTGCATGCCTATAACATAATATAAAAATGTATATATTATATAAAGCTTATCTTTTTCTGTCCACTGGGATCATTGGCAGCTTGCTAAGTTAAAGAGCTTTCGAGCCATTTTAATCGACCTGGCCTTTTTTGCCCRGAAACTGCCTAAGTTTGTGTGGAAAGCAAATTCCAGTGGCTCTGGTTGTGATGTGACATTGGCAGGACTACTGCTGTCGTTAGCTGCTCTTTCTGCTGCTGGGAGGCTGGAGCGCTCCTCTGCTTAATCACTACATGTGTTACAAAAATTAGGGTTTGCACTTGAAGGAATGGCAGAGCGAGGTGGACATTTTAATGTTTGTTGCTGAGACCGAAGAAGAAAATGTATCTGCATTTCAGATTTCATAATATAGTTCTATGCCTAATTCTTGTAGATGGCATTTATAGCACAAGAGGGTTTTTTTATTAGGTATTAGAGTCAGAAGACTGCCAGTCTCTCTACATATTTGCTGTGAGCAGATACCTGAAAGTATCAGGTCTCATTTATACCAATATAAGTAATTTCACTGGAGTTATTGGATTTGCTCTGGACTTGCAGCGCCGTAGCTGAAAGCAGGAGGTAATTAAGTTCATTTAAAATCCTTCAGCGTGCAGCACACACTCGTGCTGCCTGCCCGCACAGAGCAAGAGGCACGTACGTGCAGGTGCTGGTCATAAAATAAATGGCCTGACCAAGTGTATCCGCACAGATGAAACCCAGATGCTTGGGAAGGAAGCCCTTTTCCTGCCACTGTGGCCTGCAAGCCTTTAGCTGGGTAGCTATGACCAGAAGAAGTGTTCCCAGGAGTATTTACAGGCATGTTTTTTTCCTTTGTGGTTTTCAGCAGATGCTGCTGAGCTGTGAGTTTTCTAATTATAAAAGTCCTGCATGTGTCAATAGTGTCTGAACTGTGGAGAGCTTTCTGCTGTCCTGTGCCATGGCGTAAATCTGGGGAAAYCCAGAGAGCGGTGGTTGCTGCGGGTGTGCAGAGGGGACCTCTGCATTTACAAGCACCTGACTACACGTATGTCTAAATGCTGCCCTCAATCATATGAGGTCCTTTAGAAAGTGCTTAAGGATGTAAGCTGTATCAGACTTGGATCTGATAGTTACATGCCTCCATGCTTCAAATTTAGGGCTCGTTGAGTGTCTATGCCATAACCAGTCCAATAGGTGATGCAAAGAGATGATGATATGAGTGGCACAGAAACTGTATGCTTCAGAGGACAAAATATCTTGCTTGGGCAGCACACAGGTGTTGGGATAGTGCTCCTCTCCCTCCATCCTGTCCCACGAGTGACGGCTGGCCTGGGGACAACTCAGCTCCTCCCTTCCCCAAACCCCTTTCACTGACTCCACAGCAGAAGTTTTCAGCCACATGAAGGAATTCTGCAAAGTGCTCTGAAAGAGCCCAAAAGAAGGGCATTTAACTCCAGGAGGAGGATGAAGACTTTCAGCTGGAGGACTTAATATATGAGAACCCAGCAAATCCTACTAGATGATGGTGGAACACATTTGCAAACCATATAGTGCTGTGAATTAGCTGTGCTCACAATTTGTCAGCAGCCTCTCCAACCACAGTCTTGCCCCTCATTGTATGGGAACACAGTACACACAGCCTGCACCTGGAAACACATCTAGGAACAATAAAGCAAATTCAAATTCCCCTTCTGTGCTGCCAGCAGGATGGACATAAGCTAGTCTGGCCCAAAAGCTGCACAACCAGGTTATGATAAGCAGCTACATTAGTCAGACCCTAGCGCTGTGCTGGCTTGACAAGGTAGCTTCTGGGTGGGAACTGGCCTAGGTTCATCTGGCCCAGAAAGGAAGCCCTACGTGCCTGAGTCTGTCTAATTCTGCCCATAGTAACGTGCAGAAGAGAATTAGAATTACAGATTACAGCCAAAAGGTGCAATATGTAACCTTTGGTAGCCTGAAGCAATGCAGAGATCTCATCACAGATATGGACCTGCCCAGATGGCAGGATGTGACAAATCATCAAGCTGGGGTGTAGACACGTTAGATGGTGCAAGCATGTTGCTCCGAAGTGAGGAGAAGTTTTCTGGTTGTATCACAGCACAGCACTACTCACCTAGAAGTGTATCCACTTCAAAATAAGCAACAGGTTGGAATGTCATTTTCTTGATTGACATTCATGTGACTTGTCCCATGTAAGATCTTGCTCACGTTTACCTGTTCATCTAGCATATGCAGAGGTCATTGTGTGCTTTGGTCCTCTATTTTAAAGACGATTTTCCTGGTAAGTTGCTAAAGAGTCAGTTTTTCCTGCAGAGCAGAGAGGCTGTCTCCTGAGCCCTCAGTCGCAGACTCTGTTCCTCTGTACTCCACGAGAGCAGACCGGCCAAGGCGCTCTGTGGGCATGTCCTCCACAGGTTCATCTCATCTCGACGCTGCAGTGGGATCCACAGAGGCCTCCCGTCCAAGTAGAAGGGCCATAGGTAAGTCTCTGGAGACCCTTGGCTGGTGCATAGTTAAGATAGGAAAACACATCCCTTGATATGTCCCTGTGCACACAGTATGGCAATATAACCCTGGGGCTGGAGAGGTGGCTTTGATTATATTTCAGCTAATGCAGCAGAGCAGCTAACTTGCCATTTCACATCCCTCCTCTGCCTGGGACTGATCAACTGTCCCTGAAAAGAACTGTGCCAGGTGGGGCCTCAGGTGGCAGAGAATATTTCTGTTTACTCTAGGCTGAGTGTTATTATTCCCTTGTGTTTCACTATAGTTACAGGCACAAAAACGAAACCATATATAAAAAGAATATTATGTTTTTGTGCTTTATATTATAATAGAGTTAGCTTTCCTGCATAGAAAAGTCAGTAAATGTGCTCCAAGCAGTGTCGAAGCCTGAGGAACTTTGTATAAAGCCATTTGTGCCTGTTCTGGGAGCGGTGGTGAGACCAGAATAAGCTACTGAACAGGAAGCATCCTGCTCTTCCATGTCCCATAGTTTTTCCTGGGTGTACAAACCACAACGAAGACTGAGAGTAGCCTGGAAGCCCTGGGCCCTCTCCCTCCCTCCCTCCCATAAGTCATTTTGCCTCTTATTCCACGGTGGGACAGAGCGCAGCTAGTGGCACTTGCAGTCTTGCAGCACAGGGTCCCTTGGTCCCACAGAAAGACAAGGAAAGCCAGGGAAGAAGCTGTGCTGCTGGATGGGGATTTGTGCCCACAGCCCTCCGAGGGAGTGAAGTTCAAGGAAGAAGGAGGATGAAACTTCCATGTGCTTTACTGGTGATGGTCTCTATTCTAGATAGAGGTATTTGTCCCCAAAGATTTTTAAATGCTCCTTGGTTGTGTTTATGGAGACCAGAGCAATGTTGCAGGTCATATTAGTGGCGCTGCATAACATCCCACAGAGAGAAGGATGGAGCACAGCTCTTGAAACCCAGCTAGGACTAGAGTTTCTGGTCGGTTGGCAGTTCTGATATTTTGACATTTGTTTTAGGCTTGCCCAGTGGAAAAAAAATAGGAACACATTTTGGAAAAAAAAAAAAAGATTTTCTTTTGTTATTGTTATTTTGTTATTGTGATACATAATTATACTGGTGTATGTTTATAGCTATTTCTCTAATGACCTTAATGATGTTGTATATATGGCCATTTTTTTTCCACCGCAAATTCTCATGGGAATAATTTCCTTTGGGATGAGGTCCAACATGGTTTGTAAACATTGACTGTCAGTCAGGATGAGAGATGCTGCTAGGGCACCTAAGGAAGAAAAGGCTGGTTTATCCTGCTCCCCATTTCTTATCCTTTCCGTTTCTTAGCCATCAGAGAATCCACATGATCATAGAATCATAGAATCATAGAATGCCGAAGGTTGGAAGGGACCTCAGAGGTCATCGAGTCCAACCCCCCTGCTCACGCAGGGTCACCTAGAGCACGTGGCACAGGGCTGCATCCAAGCGGGTTTTAAAGATCTCCAAAGAAGGAGACTCCACAACCTCTCTGGGCAGCCTGTTCCAGTGCTTTGTCACCCTCACAGTGAAGAAATGCTTCCTTAAGTTCCTGTGGAACTTCCGATGCTTCAGTTTGAAGCCATTTCCTCTAGTCCTATCCCTGCCCACCACTGAAAAGAGGCCGCCCCCCTCCTCCTCACTGCCTCCCTTGAGGTATTTATACACGCTGATCAGGTCCCCCCTCAGCCTCCTCTTCTCCAGGCTGAACAGGCCCAGCTCTCTCAGCCTTTGTTCATATGGTAGATGTTCCAGGCCCCTGATCATCCTGGTAGCCCAGGATGCAGAGCTGATGTGGGCAGGGGGATGGGAAAGGAGAATGAAGGGAAAAAGTCATTAGAAACCAGGCTTCATTAATTCAGCTGTTCATAGAACAGGGTGTTCGGAAAGGTTGAGATGTTTCATTTGACCTAAACAAATACTTTCGGTTGAAAAGTTTCATTCCTGCCTATTGAACCAAATCAAAACATTTAACTTTGGTGTAGYACTGCAATGAAGAGTCTGGGAGTGAGTAGCTGCAGCTTATTCCTGCTGCACTCACATGCCCCGGACTGGGAGGAGGCTACATTCCCTTTCCAGAAAGTGCAATTTTGATTATCTCCAGAGTATTGATGAAATAAGATCAAGTTTACCCAAAAGATTAAAATGCAGGGAAAGATCCCAATCTGCTTTCTGACTGCTTTTTTATCTGAAAGGAATTTAACTCCTCCTGCCCTAAACAGCAGACTGAAGCAGAAAGAGAAAAAAAAGAAGAAAAAAAGAAGAAAAATAAGTAAAAAAGTGCAATTAGCTTGGTCTTTTAAGAAAAAGAGGCTGATGTGACTTCCATTCATGCTTGTGTGTGCGTACTGTCCTCCAAGTTTTTTCTTTACTGACCCAGTTTAAACAAATTAGACCATTTTGTGTGCTCAGTTTTCCCAGGCTCTCTTGTTGAAGCTCCTCTCTATACGTGGTGGGGTAGACACATGACGAGCAGTGGCCTCTGCTGTCCCTCTGCTTTGGAGGATGAGCTGTTGCCCAGCTTGCAGTCCTGTTCTCACATRGGTCTCAGTGACTGAGCCAGGTTGTTAGCAGGTTTTATTGTTGGATTGCATCCTTCCTCCCCACCATTTCTTTGGAAACCTGCTGAATGAAAGCCCTAATTAAAATCCTTGCCATGATCTGGGCAGGGTAGAGTTCAGGACTTGCAGGTGAACTGCTTAAGGCAGCTGAATGACACGTGGAGGTGGACTTTCCCASAGACCAGGGTACCACAGGGCCTGCTCCTGCTCCTCTGGTGGCTTCCCTTACAGCCCTTGCCCCTGCTGAGTGCTGAAGCAGTTTAGTGCCCCTGCAGTTTCAACAGTAGTTTCCAAAGAAATAGTCACTTGATCCCACTGAATTTCAGCAGTGAAAAGGCCCTTCCTAAAGGCTCCCCAGAAGTCCTTTGTAAGGAGCCCAGATTCTAGCACCAGAAAAGGCAACCGTCAATCTGAGCTAAGAAACAGCCTGTCTGGTTGACACATCACTGCAAAGTGGCTCCAACACAGTCTGTTCACCCAGTCTGGCTGTCGTGCTGAACATCTGATCAAGCAGCAGCTCCAGCCCAGAGAAATCAGCTCCAGCATTTCCAGTCTCTGGCCCCTTGTCTTTGTTCCTCTGCCACCAAATCCGCTAGTGCCATTCCTGCAAGTTTCCTGGTTCGGCTCATCCTCTACAAAATTCACACTCTGTTATGTTGTGCACCTGCCCTAGCTCTCTCTTTAGACTGCTTGTGCTGTAGCACTTACTCTGCTTGTTACTCCTGTGTTATTGCATTTGGCTGCCACTCGCTGTTTGCTTGCCAAGGGAAGTGAACCTGCCTCATTGTCCCACGAGTGGATGGGGAATTTCCCCTGGTATCCCAGGGAAAGAAAGTGGATGTTGTAATGATGTTGGAATAATGTCTGATGTTGTGTTGCTGCCACGCCATGAGGAAATGTGCTGCAGAAATTCAAACATCTTGGGCTTTGTAGCTAAAAAAAAATAGAATCATAGAATCATAGAATGCTTAAGGTTGGAAGGGACCTCAGAGGTCATCGAGTCCAACCCCCCTGCTCAC